ATATTATTATATTTATGATTAACAATCAAATGATTAATTAGTTAGAAACTAGTTGCTATTAATACAGGTGCCATCAGTTGTCTTCTTATGAATGACTTGTTTGTCATTGAATCAGTGTTGCTGATGCAAAATAAGCCCTTCGTTACCAAACACCAAGTAACTAAATTAAGATACAATCATGAGTTCTTTGCAAACTGTTAAACATTAAACTGTTGGTTCCTTTTTTTTCTTTTTCTTTTTAAATTAACCTTCATCTGGGAGATCACAGGGATATGTGAATATTTGATCTGGTTGCATATGCCAGATTTGTTGCATGACTCAGGCAGAGAAAAGCTGCTGCTATCAAACACTGTTTACTTAAAAAAACCGAGTCTATAACTGAGTCTGTAATGGTGAAGGGATAGATCAAACAGGCCACCTGATGGAGGGTTTTGAAGAATTTCATGCTCCCTTGTAAAATTATTTTTTAGTATTTTTTAAATACAAAAAAAATACTGTAGTTTATTTTGATACATGGTGTGGCTGCTGTATTTTGTAGTTTATTTTGATACGCTTAAAATGAAGGTATTTGGAATTTTATTTTAAAATACATTTTGATGTATCTTTGCCCAACCCTGTTCAAGACTCCGTGTGAGGATTACAATCACAACAGAGAATTAGCTCACTACATCACTGCAAGATCTCTGTATCTTTAAATCCTGTTTCTTTATAATGTTCCTTTACATTGATTGTTTATAGTTTGTGCAGGCCTATGCAGTTTTGTGTTTTAATACAAATGTGCATTTCTATATGGACTTTTACAAGTGTGAGTAATCAATACATTTTCTATTTGCATAAACAATACATTGAGAGAATCCTAATTCATGATATTGGCTCTTTACTCCTCTCCTGGTCACTGGACATTGATTAGGTATTCGGCCTTCTAAAGTGATTGATAGCCTACCATAACAGTAATCAGTGCATTGTACCTGCTGCGTTCCATTCTGAAGGGCTCGACCCTACGCCACCTTGTGGACAAACTAATTTTAGTGCAAAAATACTAGTAGCCTACTAATTTAGAGCATGTACTGTGCTGATGACGTAAGGCTGAGTAAAACCATGGACCCGATCTGACATATTAGGAAATATTTGATCACTGGACAACGCATTCAGAATCAAGTGTTATAAAAAGCCATGTAATAAAAAGTGTTATATAGCCTACACTATGAACGCCTAACAAACCCACTGGCTTAAATATTATGATATGTCATCTTAAGTTTATAAGTTTATGTAAATTATAATTACATATAAGTTATGTATAATGTTGAATATTCAAAGTAATACATTGTAAAAATAAATGCTCTGCATTCTTTAACCACTCAACCATATTGTAATTTCTCTTTTAAGATTGGAAGGAACATGCAAATAATAAAATAAATCACCCCCAAAAGATTACTTGTTAATACAGCATAGCATACGATGCTAACATACTGTAACAGAGTACTAATAGCCTATACCTACGGTCACGGTGTCCCTGAAGTGCTGCTACAGTTAGGCTACATAAGAGCTATTGATTTGTTTGATTTGTTTAAGACACCAACGTTACTTTCAAGTCTCTCATATCACACCGCAGACTTGCGCTCATACAAGCACAGTATTAATATTAATGTTTGTTGTAGTGTTCGCCTCGTTGCAACACCAAATATTTTGTAGACTACGATGTGTAGTGGAATTTGGTCAGTCATGTAAGGGAGAAAATGTTCAGTCAGCCATTCGTTATCACAAAAATAATTATCATTACATGGTAGAATGAGTTATAAGACACTACTAACTAACAAATATGCGTGAACATTGTGCTTGAGCCAGTGTCACACAAGAAAGGGGCAGAGTGGACGAGTGAGCTTTCAGCTATTTTCAGTTCAAAATAAAAATCACATAAAATGCAAGGCATTAATGTTTGCCAACAAAACCACCACATTCTATCTATTTGCTTTCTTTTTATTTATTATACAATTAACGAAAGCAAGGCCTCTAACACTAGCTTGCTCTATTCTTTTTCTATTCTGTTTACTTTTTATTTATAATATAATATAACATAATTATAATATAATTTGTATATTTTTATTCCTTATTTACTTGTTCTATTTTATTCTTCTTTTTATTATCTGTGTTTTTTGTTCTGTCACTGTCATTCTGTTACACTGTGGAAGCTTCTGTCACGAAAACAAATTCCTCGTATGTGTAAACATACCTGGCAATAAAAGCTCATTCTGATTCTGATTCTAAAAAAAAACGTGCTGTATGTACTGCGTTAAGCTAACTGAGACTTGTTATAGCACTTGTATATCATTGCTCTTTTGTTGATTTTGATTGCTTCCATTGTCCTCATTTGTAAGTCGCTTTGGATAAAAGCGTCTGCTAAATGACTAAATGTAAATAAATAAATAAATAAACAAACAGTTATTGTAAATGTTAGGGTTGGGGTGTAACTGTCCCGGAATAGAAAGTGTCCAGCAGAGGGCAGCAGAACAGCATTATTCTGAAGCCGGATGACTTACCTGCTGTGATTGTGCCAGCTGAAGAAGTTGATTCCTAAAAAAAACAAAAAACAATTATTTTTTACTCCCAGTCAGTATTATTATACTCCAAGACAGTATTATTATTACTATTGTTATTATTATTATTATTATAAGCCGTGCATGTGTTTTTATTTTTTTCACCTTTATTATGAAAGGACAGAATAGCAGTGTCAGGAAGCGAAGTGGGAGAGAGAGAGGTGGCAGGATCAGGAAAGGTCCACAAGCCAAGACTCGAACTCATAGCACCGTTGTGCTCTGGGTGTTCTATGTCGGAGCCCACAAGGCTAATCGCGCCAACTAGCTCTGTTACTCAGTTGTTATATTGAACACTCACCTGAGGAACTGAGTCCTCTGATGACGGAAGACTCAGAGTCATTTTCACTGTTTTTTGACCAATCATGAGCTCATGTGTTTGTTTGTCCAGAACCCGCTGTCTCACTGAGCAAAATGTAAGAACATATATAAGTGAATAAACATTCATTTTCATTTGCATCTTCACACATACAAATTTGATCAATTTACAGGGGTTAAAAAAAAAAATCCTGAGCCTTTTTTTCCGGGGGTGGATGGCTTGCATATACACATAACACGTACACAGGGTTATTTGGCAAACAAACAAACAAACAAAAAACAACATTTGAAAATGATTTTCCTTTAAACTAACTAGTAACATATCTGCCATTGCCATTAGCCCTTGACAGGCTTAGGACTTTTCAAGTGATTTAGCTCATGAGATGAGACAAAATACAGATA